AGAGAATTTACCGAAAAAAATATTCTTCGTTCAAATATTAGTCTTTTAATATGATGGAAATCTTTAAACGATTAACTTCATTACCTTTTAAATGATAGATTCTCTCTTTCGAACGTTTTATCCTCGCCTACCAAGATCACATTTAAAAAGTTCAAGGTCAATTTGTTGATCACTTCATACTACAAAACAAGCTTTTAATTCTTCTCAGGTCAAAACACCTACGGATTACGCTGTCTCTTTCCTAGTTAGCTTGAGAGTCTTTATTCCCCTCGCTTATGAGCTAAGTGATCGATCCGACACTACTTCTTTGAAAGACAAGTTCTAAGAATGGATGCTACATTGTGAAAATCTGAATGTCACGGGCATTCTGTTCGTTTTTAACGTGTGTACCATCTTTCAGACCCTTTATTGTTGTTTTTTCCTTTTCTGGTGCAAATGGCCTCTAGTACGTCGTCTTGATCAAAATCCACTAATTACATGTGTTTAGTTCATAGTCTCGATGAGTCTCCTGAGTGAAAACTGCCCCGAAGTAGGTCGCCATGGAATTTGTCTTGTCTCAATCTTTTTGTCGTTTAAGATGTCTTCCAGCCCAGAATTGAATTGAAAATCCAATGGTGAATTCTTGTTCTGTAATTTATGTACGGGAAATATTGATTCGGCTGCTTGATAACGAATTATGCCAACTGCTTCGGAGGTTTTCACCAAGCTGCTCATGTTGCTCCAATATAAATTTTGAACGGATCTATCGCGTTCCACAGCGTGTTCTGTAGCAAGGCTAATGATGACATTACACATCTTTCCTTTTGGTTTAGTAAACATCGAGTATCCCGTTTTATCCAGGAATGGCCGTGCTTCTACTCCTTTGGAACTGTCCAGGGTATAAATGCATGAGTTGCTTGATTGTACAACTGCCTGAAATGAGTCCATGCTTCCTCTGCTAACGCACCGGAATCGATTTTCTAGTTTTTCATCGAAGCTGCGGAGTTCATCGACTTCAAGTCTGCCTACTATATGTTAACTCCGCCTGTAACTCTTCTAGAGTTACTGCCAGTCCCAAGCTCACACAAAGGAGGAGGGTTGGACATGAGGCTAGCGACCCCATCCCGTAGAAAACTAACTCGCCGAAAACCGTAAGCCAGAAAAAATAGTTCAAACCATTTAAACTCTGCCTTGGGAGTGGAAGGAATGATTATGACTCCTCATTGTGAAGGCCGAGATTATTCGGAAGTCATGATGCCGATACCCCTTCCAACAAACTGAACAGCAAAGGATAGATATGGGAGAGATGCTGCTGTACTCTGGTCAAGAAGAGGAAAATGCTCCACACACTCAAGGAGTCGCTCTGATTCTGTCCAGAGAAGCACGAAATGCACCTGTAGGATGGGAATCTCATGGATACAGAATTAATAAACACATCATTCAAAACAAAGAAGGAGGGGATCATAATGAATGTTATCCAATGTTATACACCCACAGATGATGGCAACGACGACGATAAAGATCAGTTCTATGAAAGGCTGCAATCAATCATAGCGAAGTGCTCACGAAAGGACCTGACCATCCTGATGCGAGATTTAAATGCTAGAGTCGGAGTGGACAACACAGGATATGAAGATGTAATTGGACGACATGGACTAGGAGAGAGAAATGAAAATGGGGAGAGATTTGCAAATATACGTGCATTCGACAAATTGGTTATAGGCGGCACAATATTTCCACACAAGCACATGCACAAAGCTACATGGATCTCATCAGACCACACCACAGAGAACCAGATAGATCATATTTGTACCAACAAAACATTCCGAAGGAAAATGGAAGATGTGACAACCAGGAGAGGGGCTGATACAGATTCAGATCACAACCTGGGTAAGGTTGCCAAGATGAAACTGAGGCTAAAGAAGCACTAAAGAACTGGGGAATAGCATTACAAAGGTTCAACACAGCCTTCCTTCAAGATACCAACAAACTCAACAAATTCAAGAAAATGCCCAACAACATGTTCCAAGCTTTACAGGATCTACTGAAAGAACAAGAAACTACGATGAAGGACAACTGGAAAGGGATCAAAGAAGCACTAACTTCAACGGCTCAGGAGATTCTGGGTCGCAAGTAGCACCGTCATAAGGAATTGATCTTTATCGAAACCCTATACCAGATTCAAGATAGGAAGAAGATAAAAGATGACAGCAGTCAACAACAGTTGAACAAGAACAGAGAAAGTCAAAGCACAAGCAGACCACGCAGAAGCAAACAAGGAAGTGAAGAAAAGTATTAAAACTGACATTTAGAAGTACATGCGAGAACTAGCAACGACACGGAAAAAGCTGCAAGAGAAGGGAATATTAAACAACTATATGAAACTAGCAGGTAAATATACTAAAACAAAGAGACAAGTGAGTGTATGCTACACAAAAGTAAAACCTGAGGAACACGTAAAGTCTCATCTTTATCTATGGCCTTTCGAGCAAGCAACTTCGCACGGATTCAGCAACTTATCCACAAGTCCTGTGCCCACTGTAATATACATGTGTGTATGCTGCGGCTTAAGCAAGGAGAGGGGGAGTTGTTCATCTAGACAGTTAGACCTATTACACAGTGGCCCAACCCTTGTATCACTATGATTATCTGATTTCTTGTTGTGATTGTCTACCCGTAAAGTGAAGATGCATTTCGTATACTTCGAAGAGTTTAAATACTCCATTATAGTAATGGAAAAGTGTGTATCTCTGGTTTTCGGTCACGTCAAAGTCGTTGGGCGCGTGTGATCAAATGGTGCTCACTTCTAGGGGTCCTGTTGAGCTACAGACGGACACCTTATTGACATTGTTTGTATGTATCGGTTGGGATACCTAAAGATACTATACTGCCAGAAGCCTGACAGCATCACTGTTATTGTTTGTTGAGCCATTAGGAACTACCAATCGAGAAATCCCTGTTCTGGTTATTCGAAGAGAGGATGCATGATAGAATAGACTTTCCAGACTGGAGAATGATTTATAGATTAGCTTTCTCTAATACTGGAGCCTATCTCTTCTAGTCGCTTTAACGTATTGGTCCCTTGGTCGTTTGGAATACGTATGATGGAGTTGTGACTTTTTCTCAAGGGAGCCAAGATTGAGAGGTTGTCATCTAAGAATTCTTCTCTTGTAAATATGCAGTCTAGGATTGACAGCGTCACACTGTTTCTTCGCCAAGTTATCCACCTCACTTTTTCAAATAATTCGAAATCTCCGACAAGTTTGAAGAACCAAGGTTCAGATGAGTTGTCATCTCCGATGTATGTGTGTCCAGCAAAAATTGACCTAAACTCAGGACATGGATATACCTGAGACTAAGAGAGCGGGGATAATCCCCCCACCATATTATTTTCGTACTCCGTGTCAGCAATGGGCTTCCTTAAGGTGATTCCGAGCTAGAAATTTTTAGGTCTTAGACAATCTCACAAGGCACCATACATATTCATCAAGATTGATAAACCCTTGAGTACACACCTGGTGTGATACCATATTAGATCATAAGTAAAGGGCTTCCTCGCCATCACTCCTGGTTTTCTGTTGTCACAAAACAAATGAAACCAAGGTATTACCAGCTCCTGGTTCTTAATTTCAGAAGATGCCCATGTTTCAGGTACTACTATGAGACGGATACCATTAAATTTACTTAGTTCAACCAACTCACCCTTTTTGTTCGGTAAACTCGCGGGCACCACATACGGACAGTTTATAACTTCGATTTGAGACGCGTAAACCTTCTAGTCCTGTTTGTCTGAATGTGCCTTACATGAATGGGTGACATAACTACACTGGATTTCCCGAGTTTGTAGTCCCTATACCCTCAACGTTTTCTCCTTGTTCTTAACAGTCCACAAGTGGAACAGTCAGTTTAGGTTTACTTTTGTGTTTAATCCTTGCATAATTTGGCCTGTCCGGATGCATGTAGATTCTAGTTTGTAACCGACGTTTGTTAACACGGGATACTTATAGAGTAGTAGTTGCCACAGTAAGGCTATCATAACTATCCATGACCTAGCATCTCCATTTTTCGTGGCTAATCGCGTTACATATTGAGTCCCCATGTTCTTGAGCTTCAAGTACTGACTTATGGATTCCTATTCTAAAATATCATAATCTGCATGATTAGGGTCCGCGTTTTCCAGGACACCTTGCACAATATTATTTGGGATGTTCCTAATGCGATCGCGCTCAGAATATGGTATATTAGACAATGTCCCTTCTTTGTAAATGATCTTGTCGTTTTTGTACTGGGAACAGCAAGGAAGGTCAGGGCTATCTTTAGGATTTAGGATAACTAGGAATCATTCTGAATAGTGCTCTCATTTTAGGGTTTTCGGGCATAATGAGACTGGATTGCTTCTAGTTTGACAGTTGGATCGTATTTCCGATTTCCTTGCATTTTGTTAGTTGATTGGACAATCTTTAAAGCAGACTTCACGGCCAATATATTAGCTGATTTTCTTGCAAAAATTCCAGTGTTCGGCATTTTTGGTAGTGGCCTTCGATCCTTTTGACCGTTGTTGATGAAGGTTCAGCAAACATTTACGAGACCACAGTTGAATTTATAAAGTAAGTGCTGGGGATAAAAAGTTAGCCGAATCAGTCTAACATCGTCGATTTTATTGTGGTTCTGAGTTTCAGCATATGCTCTCAAGAACTGTTCCTTGTTCTGTTGATACTAATGCTTTCGAGGTTCCTCTTCTTAACGTCTTCGTTCGTTCATTCGTTTCAGGATTTCCATTTTGCACAGTTGCTAACATTTTTTTCCATATCTGTCGAGATAATGATGACGTTGTTTCGCAAATCCTCAGCATTCATATTGCACGAGGCACATGCCAACTCGTGAACTGACTTTCTAAGTCTATTGTAAGCAGCTGCTATATGGTCTGCACATGCCTCATGAAACCATAATAAACCATAATGAAAGAAGATTGCTACTAAGAATCTTTGAACTCTGAAAGTGGTGGTTTCCAGAATGACCTTTAGAAAACTGATTCCTTCTAGCGGGTCTAGTAGCGGAAAATATGAATAAGCAGTTGGTGGGACAGGTGAAGTGAGTCTCTAGGTAACGATGACTCTTCAAAACTCTCAGTTATTTTTCGTATAGAATTGGATAAATAAGTTTTCCCATATGATTTCAAAGCATATTTCTTGAGTATTTATGTATTTGTAAATAGTTTAGGAGCCTAAACAAATGCAGTCGCGCAAATACCTTTATAAAGATAGCCCTATTTAAATGGTTAGTTTGGTTGTAGTTAGCCAATGGGTTAAGTAAAAGCTTTCTTTTATAAACTTCTACTTTGTATGGGAAGGGCAAAAACCGCCCTCTAATTGCTTTCCTTTACTAATGAGCATTTAATTAAATACCATTCACCTTTACCATTCAGTCACTTCGCAATTGCAATCCTAAGTCAATAAAATCCTTGACAATCCAGAATTTCGTAGCGGGTTTGTCGTGTTCTCTAAACGGATTACTTATACTGTAGCTAACTGTTTAATAAATACAATGTATACTGAGGTTAGTAGTTCCCTCTATCTTTATTAGCATAACGTCATTAAGTAACGGTCCTATGAAAGTAGAATGTACAGTTGGTTTCACATAGACTGTAGGTTTTCGTGAGTTAATAATCCTGTTCCCTTACTGCCTAGGCTTTTCTAACTATTCATAGTTGTGGATTATTTCCGATTTCATTCAGTGTCTTGATTTTAGTTGGTCTGAAAGTACAATGCAGCCTAACTGGAGTACTCTTCTATATGCATTCGTTTGATCTCGTTCCATGTGATCGATTCTCATTACTGTAGTGTATTTTTTGTTGGTTGAGAAACACCATAATGTAGTAATCATGCCCTTGCCCCCAAATGCCCTGGTATGGCCGAGAGTGGAGAGAGTCCGCTCTCCCTCTCCAAATGCTCTCACATGGCCAGCGAATATATAGCCTCTGTCAGGGAAGTCCTACTCACTGCCTTCTCGTGGCGGGGGTGTTGCTTACGAAAGTGAGATGACGAAAAGCGAATGTCCGGCGCTTTAACCGGCTTGGTGGACAAGGCGAATCCACCTAGGGGAGTTGGAAAACCCTGATTCCAAACCAATGGTGCACATGGGCTAACTCCAGTATCCTGAGGAAAAAAATGGAGTATGAATCAATCGTTGATCACCGACTACCATGGGACTGCATCTCCTCACGATGCTCCACTGCCTTGTGGATCAGATCTTTCTGTCAAAGGCTCGGGGTGTGGTCCCCTAAGAAAACCACCTGCTTCAGTTCCGGCACCTGGGCAGTATCACAGCCCTCACACAAATCGAATGAGATTTTTATGGCGCATATGTATCTGGTGCTTCCTTGTACCAATATTTGTGTGTTGAAATAGATAACTAATCATGCCCTTTCTTGCGGCCATAAATGTCATACCAGAGTCGCTCAGAGGCTAAAAAATCGATATATTCTGTCCACCATTAGCACTGCACACTTGGTGTTAAGAGAAAGATTCCCAATCATTTACTTATATCGTCCCGAAAAGTTTGTGTTGTTTTGCGTTTTTATTATCCTTTGTAATCGAGTTTCGTGGTCTTTACAGCTGTTCAATGTATGTGCTGGTAGGCGCATGAGCAAAACGACCAATCCATCTCAAATTATTTTCACCCATAACTTAGTTCTCATACATAAAGCTAGTTTTTAGTGTTACAACGGATCAAAGTGCTGGACGGAAATTCACGTTACTGGCAGTGGTCAATACCGTTTTGGAGTAGCACATACTTGTCTATGCTATACTGTCACCCTGAGATCTTTCAGCCACTAGGGCTGACAAGGTGGCCAACCACTTGGCTGCCTATGGTCGGTCTAGACGTTGAAGTAGTTGGGACGTCTATGAAAGAAATTTAGCAAAAATTGGGACAGTGGCACCCCTAAAAACACCATTCGAGGCTGACTATCGCGACAACCACCAAGCAAATATGTAAATTGGAATCGGAGTAATGATTAGTAGATCCAACATTTAAATATGATCAAGTAGACAAGTTTGAACTAGAGACGGAAATGAAAGAGTTTAATGCAAGTGGTAGTTGTCGTGATATCCTTTAGTTTTTACTTCCATTGTATCGTGTAACTGTACCAAAGCAACATATTTCCTTTTGTACTCGTCATCTGTCATCTGAATTTCCATCTTTAACCAGGTTTTTAAGTCCAACTTCCGGTTTTTTCGCTCTCATCATTCCTGAGCAGTAACATATGTATTTTACCAACTGCCAGTTGAACTATCTTGTTCATAATAAACTTTGACTTTGTTGGCCTAAGTTATGTGCATCATCACAACATATATATATATATAAAATTTCCCTCTGCAGGTTGCTGGATTGCATTGCAAAGCTTTTCGGTTAATCTTTCGAGCTAACCAGCTGACTTCTATCTGGTGTATAAATTATGAGCTCACAGGGTTTACCTCCTGGATGGTCTATGGGATATGATAGTATCACTGGTTTCCCCTTTTTTATCGATCACATTAATAAATCAACTACATGGGAAGATCCACGAAAGTCTAAAACTCAAGTGAGTCTATATCAGTGTAACCGTTAACTAAATTGATATGTTCATACAACAAATTCAAGCATTAATAATACGATTTTTTAATTTGTTGGTATATATATGCTTAAAATCATTGTCTGAAACCTTTATAATACATCGTCCTTATTTAGCTATTCCACCTTTCATAGCCAAGTTGAACGAATGATACTAAACAGCTGTTTTTCCATCCCCTTTGCTGTGTGTAACTTTTCGACTGTTAATCAAGGACTAATGTGATTATTTCAGTTATTGTAAACTATATCTGTCGTGTGTAGTTAACGGTTTGTGTTTGTAAAACTGTCCTCTGATTGGCAACCTCATATGTACTAATAAACTTTCATTCTTTAACTGGTTGTGTGCCTAACTAATTTTCTCAGTAGCCTTTTCTCTCCCTACTTTTACCATGCCTCTAACATATATTTAAAAAAAACTTCGTTTAGGTCTGTATTCAGTTATTATGAGATTTGAAATAACGAAGCTACTACTACATTAGTTTACTTTATTAACCTCAGAATCAAGATATTTTAAAAGTTGTGCACATCTTATAGTTATAAAATATAAAGCATTCCAGTTTTATGTACAGGTATATGGTTAGGGGGCTAAAGTTACACAAATGTTTTTCCTACAATTTTAACCAACTAACAAAAACAGATTTTTTCGAGAAGATCGAGGGTGTGTCAATATTTTAGAAACTTCAATGCTGACTCGTGGTTAGGATGATCGTCGAACTCTTCCGTTGATAAAAATACTGAATATACAGAGTCTCCTGTACTTTCTAATCGCTGAACCAGTGTAAATAATCGTTGACAAACTAAATTTAAGACAGTTTTCTAGAAAGATGATGGTACTGAATAGCCTAAATTCTAAAGAGTTTCAGGGATATTTTGAGCAATAGGAAATGTTCTTATGAACTCTCAATTTAGTAGAACAAAAATTATGATGTCCTCAGTTGGATTGTTTACTGAGTAGTCTGTGTATATACTTAAATTGTTTCCAACGTCAGATACGGTTTAATACAGACATTTCATAATTAGCGATATGGTAAGTAATAATAATAATAATAATAATAATAATAATAATAATAATAATAATAATAATAATAATGTTAATTGTCTTGCTTTTAGTATGACCAGGGATATCGTCAATAGAGTTCATAATTTCATTCATTTGTTTGTGTGTGGGCTGTGATACTGCCCGGGTGCCCAAACCGAAGCAGGTGGTTTTCTTAGGGGACCACACCCCGAGCCTTTGACCTAAAGGTCTGATCCACAAGGCAGTGGAGCATCGTGAGGAGATGCAGTCCCATGGTAGCCGCTGACCAATGACAGGTTCTTCCGCCATTCGTTCCATCAGGATACTGGAGTTAGCCCATGTGCACCATTGGTTTGGAATCAGGGTTTTCCAACTCCCCTAGGTGTATTTTCCGTGTCCACCAATCCGGTTATAGCGCCGGACATTCGCTTTTCATCCTCTCACTTTCGTAAACAACACCCCCGCCACGAGAAGACAGTGAGTAGGACTTCCCTGACAGAGGCTATATATTCGCTGGCCATATGAGAGCATTTCGAGAGGGAGAGTAGACTCTCCCCACTCTCAGCCGTACCAGGGCATTTGGGGGCGTACCAGGGCATTTGGGGGCAACAGCAGGCAGTTCAACTGGCCTGCTGCTCCGGCAACATCAACCAGCTTGTCCTGCTCCCCATGGCCGGTGACGACTGATCCACCAAACGAGGCGTAAGTCCGCAAGGAACTCCAACTCTTGAAACGTTATAAATCACCTGGCCCAGATGACTTACCTCCAGCTCTTTTTAAAGATGGTGGTGACTTTCTGGCTAAGGAACTGACTGCGTTGTTTGGAAAGGTTTGGGAGCAAGAAAGTGTTCCAACATCTTGGAATGAGTCAATAGTCGTCCCTATCTTTAAAAAGGGTTCACGTTGTTCCTGTAGCAACTATCGGGGGATAAGTCTACTTTCGATCGCGTCCAAACTATTGGCTTCTATCATTCTTCGTAGGTTGTTTAAAACCCGAGAACGATTGACTCGCGAGGAGCAGGCTGGTTTTCGTTCTGGTCGAGGATGCATTGATCACATCTTCATCCTCCGCCAAATGTTAGAACACCGTCATACTTATCGCAGGCCAACAATCGTAGTGTTTCTTGATATCAGGGCGGCCTTCGATTCGTTGGACAGGACTGTTCTCTGGGATTGTATATTGAAGAAGGGTGTGCCTGAGAAGTTCATTAACATCTTAAAGGCCCTGTATACGAACACCTCAGGCAGAGTGAGGGCATACAACCACCTTTCTCCCTTGTTCCATTCGAGCAGTGGGGTTAGGCAGGGTTGCCCGATCTCACCATTCCTCTTCAACTTTGCCATCGACGACATCCTGCAAACAGCTCTGGTGGATGTAAGTAATGGCGGTGTGGATATGTTACCTGGAGAACGACTTCTCGACCTTGAGTATGCGGATGATATTGTCTTACTGTGCGATAATGCCCAAGGCATGCAATCAGCACTTAATCAGTTGGCAATCAGTGTCCGCAGGTACGGCATGTGCTTTGCACCCTCCAAGTGCAAAGTACTCCTACAAGACTGGCAGGATTCTCATCCTGTACTCACCCTGGATGGTGAGCAGATTGAAGTAGTTGAGAAGTTCGTGTATCTAGGTAGCTATATAAGTGCTGGTGGTGGCGTGAGTGATGAGATTGATGCACGTATAATGAAAGCCAGAGCGGCTTATGCCAATCTGGGCGATCTTTGGTGCCTTCGTGATGTTAGTCTGGCTGTAAAAGGTCGGATCTACAACGCGTCGGTGAGAGCAGTTTTGCTCTATGCTTGTGAAACATGACCTCTCCGAGTTGAGGATGTTAGACGTCTCTCTGTGTTCGATCATCGTTGTCTCCGAAGGATTGCTGACATCCAGTGGCAACACCATGTTAGTAATGCAGAGGTTCGGCATCGTGTGTTCGGGCACAGAGACGATAATTCAATTGGTGTCACCATCTTGAAACACCGACTTCGGTGGCTCGGACATGTTTTACGAATGTCGTCCCAGAGACTTCCGCGTCGTGCATTATTTGCCGACCCTGCGACTGGTTGGAGAAAGCGGAAAGGAGGTCAGTGTATGACATGGTGTCGTGGCATGAAAGAGAGCTGCAAAGGGCTAGCTTCTGTTGGTCCTTCACGACTCCTTGGTTGGGGTCCGAGAGATGGTGCAACACAGTTGCTAGAGACGTTATCAGATATGGCTCAGAATAGAAGCCAGTGGCGATCCTGCTGCAACCTTCTTTTACTTTCTACATAAAGAATGGTTCTAACTTTCCTAACTGAAAGAGTCTTCTGGTTGTACATTTCAGTCCGCCTTATCTTTTCATCCCTTCTCTTCCTACTTTCATTATTTTGTGTGGCGCATATGTACCTGGTGCCCTTTTGTACCAATATATATGTGTTTAAATAAATAAATAAAATAAACAGACATTACTGTTACCAGTAGTTGTGTACTCATCGGCTCAACATTAACAAGTGGTATATATATATATTAAGCCATATAATGGTTATTTATGATTTTCGTCAAGTTGAATTATGACAACTAAGTTCACTCTATGCATCACAAAGTTGTACTGAACGAAAATTCATATAACTTTATTTGGTTAATTTTCAGCTGTCACTTGCTTCAATAGGGTCTAGTTTTCTTCTTAAGAAAAAAGAGTTTAACGTACATATTCTTACGTCAATCTTGATGAGGTCTATGATTGTGTTGTGTTAATAAAACGGTGAAACATTTTTAATCCAACCCAGTAAGCCAGTAAAAATTCAGTCAACAACCTCTACTTGTTTATGAAATACAACTAAGGAGAAAACTCTGATAACTATCTCACTTCTTAGTGTCTAACAAAAATGTGATTCTTAAGCAGTTTGTAATTTTCATGTACCTAATTGTAGAATTATGACTTCCATTCTATCTTGAATAAAGCATTATTGAAATTCTGTATTTTAGACGAAAAACAATACGAAACTGACATTAATACCCTATAGGCCTATAAATATTTTCCATCATAACTGAACGTTCGATTTTCATATTTTCACTTAATATCAACTATATGTTCTTTCAGAATGTCTTATTCAGAACAGTTTATTTAAAAAATTCACTTTTAGTGACTGAGTAAGCACACATTAGGATTACTGTCTAGTAGTAATGGTCAAACAAAATAATTTTCTGGTTGATTAATCTTTCTATGAATCTTTCGTTCGAGTCCCACGTGCGGAACCGTGGATACGCATTGATGAGCAGTTCCATACTAGGACGAAACGGCCATCTAGTGCTTCCAGGTTTTCAACAGTGCTTTAGCTTAAATCGACTTGTGAGTTCATCTGTGAAAATCCTACAATCTCCGAAAATCCCCATACTAATATAAAATATTTTTAAAGTGAATAGTTATCTTTAAAAATATTACTAATTCATTTGTTATCTTCATTCAGTCAGTCAGCTACAACGTAGGACCAGGCACACATGCATCGGTCGAAGTTGCCATACCCCGTTAGCACAACAAGATGAACACCAAATTCATAAAACTAGTTAATTTGGTGGTGGTAATACATAAAAGAAAGATTGTATATAAGAATATATGTAGTACAGGAAGAAAGACGGATATGAAGTATTTTTAATCTCAAGGTTTGAGGGAAGATAAAGAATGTATACACCTGCGCCATTATGATCGATTGTGATCCATGTCACCCACAGTCTTTAACCATTGGTTGCAATAGTCACGCAGACCCCAACCAAGTAGTCTGCATCTACCAACATGGCTCAGACTAGAAGTTAGTGACTTTAAGCACTGATGCCACATTTAGGTTCGGTCACCCCTAATTCTCTTCTAACCATCCTCAATACTAGTCAGCATTGCGCGTCTTGGTAATCGGTATTCAGGCATATGTAACATGTGGCTCAACCATCAGTCAGTCAGTCAGTCAGTTACAACGTAGAA